TCACGCGACGCGGTGAATCAATCTATCTTTCAGAGCTTTCGTCGTTTTGAGACCGCGTGTTGCGATGGATTTTAGTTCTGAAGGATGAGACACGTTGCCGGAAATTCGTTGTATACGTCAGATCGAAGGAGAATCTTCGTTGGTCGGGTTCTTTTTTCAATAAATTGCAAAGGTGAGTCGACGTTGTAGATGCGCGTTTTGGCGAATTGAACGGCGAAGATTGATCGTGAAGTGCGATTTCGTTGGATCGTTTCGACGAGCGCTATTAAACGTGATCGTTTGATGGGTTCGGCCAAGTGCCCCCGAGGTTTGCTACATAAATTTCTACGAGGAAACGGTGAAATCACCGTCGGAGTTGATCAGATGGACGCCATTAGGGAGATTCGAGGTGGTAGCGTGGATCTAGCGAGGATCGATATAGTGTCGCTCTCGTGAGCGTCGTTTGGCTTTCAGATTTATTCATTTCACGGTTCCTGAGGAAAGTATGGAGAACGGTGAAGTTGGGATCGGGTTTGTGACTTCGTCACGAGGGAGAATTTTTTAGGAATTATTCTAGGAACGGTGGAATCGATTAATTTTATTTTCGGTCTGTCTCTGGAAATTAATAAAGGAAGATGTAGATGTTGTAGATAATTTATTGTTGCAGAAAATGTAGAAGATGAGTAGCGAAGGATTTTTTGGTTATACAGTGAGTATATTCTGTATGGAAGTCGTGAGACAGTTGGATTTAGGGTAGGAATAAATTCGTGTTATAGTTGGGATGTTATGCTAACATTTACTTGTCGCTTACATTATAAGGGAAGTGAAATTATGCTGTATTTCTAAGGTCTTACTAAATTCTACCGCGATGAACGTGTTCTTCAAACCTACCGGGTGGCCAGTAAGTCAGGTACAGCAATGTGCCCTACCTCTTATGACTGTTTGCTCTTCTAGTTCCTTTATTTTATCAAAAATTGCAGCAAATGTTACTCATTCCCCATTAAAAGATAAAAAAATCTCATTTCGTGTACCTTAAACACCTCTGCTTTAAAAAATACTCTTCTAAAAGATTTAGCAGATCCAAGTTACCTCTGAGCTACATAAACCTAAATAATTCCAAAGCATTTAATTATATACCTTCATTGTTTAAAATAATACTTTACTCTCTATTTTAAAAAATTTTCTTCTACAAGATGTATCAAAGTCAAATCTCCTCTGAAATATTGCCAATAGGTACAAGTACCTTTGCTTACACAACTATTCTCAGCAAAAAGAAGGTATACTCCAAACACTTCTACCTTAAAAAATCCTCTGTCAAAACCTTCAACAGAGGGGCAAGTTTCCCCTAAAATACATAAATCCAAATACCCCTAAACCATTTAACTATCTACACACACACGTACCCGACCATACCTGGTGAAAAAAAAAGAAGATCCCTTGGTTACCTCTAAACACTTGCACCTTAAAAAAGTTCCCCGCTAAAAGCTCTAACAGAGAAGCAAGTTTCTCCCGCCTGTCGTCTGAAGCAGCGACAACCCCGAAACTTTTGCTCGACATCGAAGTAACGAACAGCATAGGCAATGTTCCCTAGTCGAAGGATCGTGCGATAATCCGGCGGGCGCGCACGTGATCCAGGTGGATCGTGCAGGTCCGTTGGCAATCTCCGGTAATGATCAGTCTCCATGGTGACCTGGCGGTAGATTTTAGTAGAGAAGGGTGAAGGGGGGCACGCCTCGCCCTTTTTCCTTGAAGACCGACTGGCGTTGGCCGGCCGGAGCGCAGGAGCCGAGCGCCGCGGCGCTGCCGTTGCAACCACGCCGACGCCTGCAGGATGAAACATTAAAGTTGCGTTTGCGCCGATGCGGCCTGCCTTGAACTACTTCAAGGAAGGATACAGCAGGCCTCCCGCACAAAATGTGTGTGCACTGCTTGACCTTTCGTCCTGCTGTCGTTTCAACCTTTTCCTACTCTTTCTTCCCTTTTTTCTGCTGCTTCTTCGTTTTGTTTTTTTTTTTTCTTGGGCTTCTTTCTTCAACGCTGAGCTGGGGATGATGGACGATATTTACCCGCGGCGTTTATTATTGGACGCGGGACAGGGTTGCTGACCTAGCAGGTTTAGCTTACTCTGATTTGAATATGGATTTTTTGGGAAATGGCATTTTTGGAGCAGGTGTTTGACACTTTTGGTGTGCGTTGAATTAGATTTGAGAGGAAAAGGTGATTGATTAGTTGAATACTGACCTATGAAATCCGTGAAAAAGTATAAAAAGTGATATTTTCGAAGTTAGATCACTGTCAACGCCAATCCATGTCAGTGATACGACTTGGTACAATTTAAGTTTCTTCCTAACCCAGCAGGAACTCTGCATTTAAATTCTTCCGAATATAATTATTTAACAGCGTTATTTAAAAAAAAGAAAGCGAGATAATTTCCAATTTTTCTGGACGATCAAGTTAGGTCCACTTTGCGCTCGCGCTCTTTGAGCGCCGAACGCGTTAACGAGGGGATTATTTGTGACGCAGGATAATTAGGGGAGGCAAATATTTGGCTAATCTAAAGACGTCGCCAGGGACCTGGTGAGAAGGAGTTTCACCGAGAATGCAAAGGTTCGAATGTACGGCGGAGATTGTACGTATAGATTTGAGTAAAGTGGCAAGGCGAAGATTTATCGTGGAGATGCAGGGAATGCAAGGTTCTGGGGATTATTGGGGGTACATAGATTTGAGTATCGTTGGGAATGTAAGGATTTATGTATCACGGGGATGAAATATTTGGGTACCACGAGAGGACGCAGGGGATGCCTAGATTTAAGTATTACGGGTAACGAAGAGATTAAGTATCGCGGAGATGCAGGTATTCGAGTGTCGTGGGATGCTGGGGTTGGTAGAATAGATTTGATTTCACGGGGGGATGTGGGGACCTGAGAAATTTGAATATCGGAGAAGTGTCGCGTAGAGTGTTAATTATAAATAGTAGTAACTTAGAAATCTTTCAGAAGTAGGTGCATGATTTTAGAATTTATATTTTCAACGTAATTTCTGAAATTGGAGGATTTTAAAAATTTGTTGTTGTTACGGAACGGGCGGTAACGGTTGAGATCGCCTTCGTTTCGGGTTGGTTAAAGGCGTAAAATTTCTAGGTGTATTGTTTTAGACTATCTGTCGACCTTGTGCGGGTACATCGGTTTTATACTAGTTTTGGCACCTTGCTTCCGACCAATCAATGGTGAGGAAAAGGGCCTGGAGTCGAGCGTCGCTTCATGGGTTTTTCCCAACTTCGCCTCCTTCCTACCTGTGACGGTTGCTTGGCGTTTTTGGTTTATAATTATAAAGGTGTTTGCTAATGATAATAATAATGTTATAACAGTATCTAATTACAATAATGTTAACAATAATATAATAATAGTATCTAATAACAATGTGTGGGGGAAAGGCAGTGGGTTCGTGAGATTTGTATCAGCTAGAAACTTTTCACGTCGTAATTTATTTTACCTGAATTTTCATCGAACACAGTATGGGAAATGTAATTGCATTGATTTTTATGTGAAAAGATCGAGTGTCGACCTTTTTCTCCACCCTCGTCGATCTCTTAAAAATGAGTGTTCAAACTTGTTATTATCTTTAAGATTATTTTCACCCTTTAATACTAAATTATAAAATTCATCCTGTTAAATAAGTGAATAAATCAGCGCACTATTCCAAGAAATTATCAACGTAATTACTTAACTCCGCTTCCACGAAACGTAATCGAAACCGTTGAAGGAATCGATGCATAACAAATCACCCAATTACCACATTAGCGACGATTCACCATAAAGATGGACGATTTCGCGATTCCCGTCACGGCAGGATCGCAATTTTTCCGGTTAAGCGGACCCTGAATTCTCCCAGTCAATTACAGTCGAGTCTCGATGCCTTCTTCCTCCTATTCACCCGACGAAAAGCGTGGATTTTTCGACACGAAACATTCGTCAAGTTGTTAACGCACATTCAACCCTTCTTTACTGCTTCATTTTTCTTCTTCTGTCTATTCGCGAATCCGTTGAACGGTCGACGTTCGTTAGGGTGATCGAAAACGATGGAAAATCGACGAGGATAAATAATGCCCGGTGGAGTAATAACGAGACCGGAAGTTCAATTCCTTTCGCTCGCTAATTGCATCGAAGAAGATCTAGGTCACCCTTCGCCCACGCTAGCTTCTTCTTTTCTTCCGTCATCCGATTATCCAAAGACAAAGGGCACGGTCTCGAGACGAAACAATTGCGTTGGTGAAGCCGACCCTCGAGCTTCCATCGTCCCGCTCGATTTCGCGTGGATCCCTCGAATTTGTCGAGTGTGTGCGCGCAATAAAGCGACGAATGCTCCGGTGGACCCTGAGGACTCTCTAGATCATCGCGAACATTCTTTGCATAATTTTCCAATATTTTTCTAATTTTCTAATATTTTCATTTTAATTTCGACTATTCTTTTAAACGATATCTCGCCTTTTTCATTCGAGAAATTTATACTTTTACGATAGAAATCTCCAGGAACTAAGATTTTTCAAAGTTTCTTCAATTTTCACTACAGTTCTCCATTTTTTCGCCAATCCCCGACGATAAACACTTTCAGTTTCACTTCAATCCTCAACTTCCACCATCCTCCAACACTTCTAATGAAATTGGAAACCTCCAGCACTCTCCCAAATAGTCCAATTAATCCAGATTTCCCGCACTTACACCGACGGACAGTCGTTCCAAACACTTTCCGTCAGTGAAATCCGCTGCCACGGTTTTGCCCAATTTTCCACATATATTCCACCGCGTAGGTAACTGAGAAAGTTCCTACGCTATACGTTACCCAGCCAGTCGTTTAAGAGGCCAAAACGTGTACGTTTCGTGGCAACGAAACTTCTCTGTACATTCCTCTCCCCGTTAGCAGATTACATATACCCCTTTTCGTCGCTATCTCGAAAATTTCCTACCTGATACTTTTTTCTCCGCAACGTTTTAACACCAGTCCTGTTTCTCGATCTGTTTCAGAGGTGCCTTCTCGGTGGTGAGACGATGCGTTCAGAAGAGCACCGGCATCGAGTTCGCGGCGAAAATCATAAACACGAAAAAGCTCACGTCCAGAGGTAAGTTCTCGCCTAAATAGAACGGGTACTATCGGGGGAAACGCGAATCGATAATTAACAAGGAATATCACCGAACGAGAGTTTCGCGGGAGTTAGCTCGATACAAAGGCATTAGCATTTAAAATACTTAGCGCTGTTAGCGGAAACGACTACGCTCTCGAATCGGGGCTACATTACTATGAAAATGGCCTCTCTCCCTACACTTGGGAAAGTTTCGCGGAAAAATCCGAGACGCCGAGAAGTTTCGCGACGTCGTCGTTGATTGTCGGCTAGGTTCCCGTGAATAGTTCATTAATGCGCGGCGTAAACGAAAGAGTAGAGCGTATTTTCTAGAGTAAAGTTTCGATTTTGTTATACGGAGAGGCGTAATTTCTTCTCGCGTTATTCTTCGATTTGTCGGTTTTTTTAATTGTGAGTTATGGGATTGGATAGTGTGAATGTTTAATCGATACTTATCGAGGTTGCATTCTTGCTTGGTTTGAAATGGAGGAACTTTTTAATAATTGAGGTTTCTCTGTGATTTAGGGATCGAAATGATCGACGAGATTAAGAGCATCGAAGAGTGATCATTTATGCTGAATTTAGAATTGATAATTCTCGTCAGAATATTGATAATTACGAATGTTTATAATAATTTTGGCGATCGTAAAGTTGCGCGGGTAAATTTGAATTCCTTAAACCTGATCCATTTTGGTTCTCCATTTAATTTCTTCGAATTAAACCTAGCTCTAAATCTTCAATAAATTCAATGGAACGACGAATAGCCACTATCCAAACGAAATACTAAAAAACTTACACGCCCAGATGCTCCGCAGAAGTGAAAAAAAATTGAAAACCCACGTTGAAACGACAATTAAAACAAAGTCGAACGGACGAAAGAATAAAAAGAGGATGCAATTACAACCCGGGTTTCGAAAAGGACTCTCAGCAGTAAAAACAATAGAAAGACGAGAAAACAAAAAACAAAAAAAAAAAGAAAGCTCTCGAAAAAACAGCGAAATAAAGTTTAAAAAACACGAGGCAATAAAAGGAAAAGGACAAGGGGTTCTGAAGAAGATTAAAAAACAAGCAACAAGAGGTAAAGTAGAAGTTTAAAAAAGAAAAGTGGTAAAAAGAAGAACCTACGCTCTGTGTAAATGAGTATTATAAAAACGGGGTCAGAAGCAAAAGAGATAAAAAGAGAGAAGATTGAACGATGTCGCTCGAACTTCAACATGGTTCTTCTGCCACGTGACGTGCACCCCAGGGTCATCTTCACCCAAAGAATATCCAAGCAATTTTCCAACGAAAACGGAAAAAAAAGACACAATTATTCTAAAATTCTATTCTCAACTGAAATCTCACGTCGAACTTTCTCAAACGCTCTTCTGAAACATTTCTTCATCCAACGATCCTCTGTACTCTTTCTCCATCTCCAGATACACTTCTCTCGATTCATCCACATCCTGATTATCTCTCGATCTGAAAGCACTGTTCTCGGCGATTAGACACGGAGCCGCGGAAAGAGAGTTCTGCTCTTCTCTCTCTACACACGAAGAGATTTAACGTCTAAAAACAACGAGCGACGCCGTTGTCAGGCTGCCAACATTCCATCGCGACCAACAGTTACCAGTGCCGTACAAGTCGTGGATCCTGAGGACGTTTGTTAGCGGGTAGTCGGAGTGAACTCGGGAAGAATATTCTTCCCTTTTTTGAGAGAGGAGAGAACGTATAGAAAGACTGTCGATATTCCGACGCTGGAAGCCGGACCAACGCAACACCGTAATCGAATCAATCAAAATATCGAGCAGAAGCGATCCGATAAACGGCGCGCTGCCAGCAATTCAATTACGAGCTCGCCGAGACCGAGGCGACTCCTGTCTTTTCGAGGCGCGTGTCTCGCGGCAAGTGCAATACACGCGAATTTTGGAGTCTCTACGCGGATCAAGTTGGATTTATTGTTGACGGTGAACATCGAGGAGGATTTCGGGGGAGATATTTCGGGGGGTTTGAGGTGGACAGATGAATTTTTTGGCGCGTTGTGGGAGATTTTCTGAGAGTTTGGGAGTTTTGAATTAACAATTGTCCCCTTATTTTTAGACGTTTGTTATAATTTTCTGAGCACAGAGAAAAAGAGACGTTTTGAGTGTAAGAAGTTTCAAGGAAATTACTGTGTCTTTATCTTTGCGAATTTTCAATAATTTTCCAATCACAGAATATTAAATTCTCCCAAAACAGAGAAATTTTAAATATGAGAAAGTTCAAGGAAATTACTGTCTTTTTATCTTCGCAAATTTCTAATAATTTCCCAATCGCAGAATATTAAATTAAAAAGGAAAAATAGAAAGTGTAAATATCGGTGTGCAAAGTACCCGAATTTTCAGAGTAAATGAAATTCCTCCATCTACGACACTTCCGTCTTCAAACATAGACGCAAACATGCACGACGCGTTCGATAAATTTTCTCTAATGGAACGATAATTTTTTCGATGACTTGCTCGGATGATTAACGCCGCGGCTCGCCACATATCAAGTTCCCCGGCACGACGGTCTTTCACTCGCGCTCCTCTCCACTTCCGTGCAGCGGCCGCTGATTGATAAATTTAGTATCAAACGGCCCGCCACCCAAGCAGCCTGTATCATAAGCTTTATTGTCGCTATCAATCGATTCGCTGGCAACGGTCCTAATGTACGTTCTCGTGACTCATCATCGCCGTCTCGCCCATGTTTCGCGGCACCGTGCAAACCTGTCTTGCGGAAAAACCGTCTCTGATTCACGGGGAAACATTTATCGATACGATACCGTCGATGGAGCTTTCCTATTGGAAGACAAACCGCGTTCTTCCTTTGTTAGACGAATTTATGGGAAACGAAGAACTTTTTATCGATTAAATTAAGCTCGATGAAAGTTAGCGAGAATATTATGCAAATTTACTAAGAATATTATGAAAATTTTGGTGGAAGCTTTGTCACAGAGGGAATTAATTTTGGAAAGCTCGTTGATACTGTGTACTGATTTATTCTTATTTTCAGGAGAAATCGTAACTTATTCTCCGGCGACATATTTCGTGGAGCACCCTGTGTGTAGGTATCACTTGGTACAGGCTTTTTGGCGTCAACAGGTCGACAGTTTCGACGAAAAGTTCGACTGTCGCTGTTTACGTTCGATCGGGGACGGTAATCGAGCTTTAGAATCCGGACGACGAGCGGAATTTTCGAGGGTCGCGCGTAGAATGCCGGGGCAAGAATCCATTCGCCAGGGTAAAAACCAAAGAGGAGTAAAAAGCTGTCGATTCACTTTAACTTTGCTCGTTTGATGTCGTGATTTAAACCGCAGGACATTTTTCCATTTTTCTTCCCTGCGAATTCGAAGGAAATTTACCAACGTTTCGTGGAATGTCTGAGAAAGGGTTAAGACGTAAGTTCCTTTGATAAATCCTTCTAAAGATCGTCGTCTCTCTCTTTGGATCGCGTTCAGGCCAAATTTTGAGAATTCCTACTCATTAACAACCAAAAACAAAAATTTAAGAAGATTTCGTGGAATACCGAAGGAGAAGAATTGAAAGAAAGGGTTGAAGTGAAGAAAGATGGAAGCTCCTTTGTCATTTCGTCTTCAGTTACGCTAAATTTTGAGAATTTTTATTCATCGCTAAATCAAAGAAGGTAAATTTACGAAAATTTCGTTGGAATATCCGAGAAGAAGAATAGGACGAGAGGGTTGAAACGAAGAAAGGTAGAAGTTCTTTTCTCATTTTGACTTGAGATCGCACTTCGCTAAATTTTCAAGCTTTCTCTTCATTACTAAACCAAAGAAGGTAAATTTGCGAAAATTTCACGGAATATCCGAGGAGAAGCGAAGGAAGGTAGAAGTTCTCGAGGGAATGGTCGGGTGGATCGTGACTTCGTCTTAAGATCGCGATGCGTTTTCAGCGTCCGCGAGCGTCACCGAGATAAGAAGATTGACGTCACAGGGTTCTCTGGGCGTCGAGCTCTTTTCAATGGAATCTTACCGGCCGGCCAAAGCGACAAATTCTTTCGTGGATTGAACTCGGTGAAATTGCATCTCGCTCGCGATAACAGGATTGACGTCATCGGGTCGCGGGACTCTGGTTACGGAGATTATGAATTCATAACTTGAACCTGCCTGCGAAGGTGAAAAAAATCTCGGGATAATGCGTTTGTTTAATAAACGAATCGCGAGTTGGAGAAACGTCAGCGGATAAAAGTTTATTTAGGATTTTCGAGAGGTTGAAGTTTCTTGGATCGGGGGAAAATGGGAATTAGGTTTGTGCGATTAATGGATGGACGAAAATTGGTGAAAATTAGAAATTAGTATTAATATCTCCTTGATTGTCAATCTGAGAATGAAACGTTAGAGGACTTTTTCGTTCAGGATTATTTCTAGAATTTTTATGAAAAATCTTAGTTCACTCTATGTACCCTAGGCTTTTATTTAAATTGAAGAGTTTCGTGTGTCTTTGCACTGTCGTTCAATTACTTACGTCGTTGATAATTTTCAAAAAATTTCAAGGATTCACAGATAATCCCTAGAATTTTAATAGAAAATCTTTCTTCACCCTGTGTCCTCCAAATTTTTATTCAAATTTAAGACTTTCGTACGTTCGTCTACAATTTCAAAAAAATTTGGTCAATTATTAATTTTCCAAAAAATTGCAACGATTTCATCAATGGTCGATGCATTTGTCGCAAGACGAATCGACGTGCACTCTAAGCTTGATATTTATAGGCAGCATAATCTAGGTACGTGTTTGCGGAGGGAAAAGTTGGTTGCAGAGAAAGTAGGAAAAGAGAAATTTCGCCGGTGTTTCTATTGGCACGATGGAGGCTGGCCTGTCGGTAGTTTTGACGTAACCGAACGCGTTACAAATGGCCAAGCTTTAACAACGTACGCAAACGAAGAGGGTAGCTTAAAAGATGCCGGCAATGGGAACGCGCCGCGCCGGTAGGTTTGTTTCTCTTGCAGACACTCGTGGTGGTTACCATCGCCCCCATTTCCATGC